TTGGGCTGTTCAAATCGGACATGATGATGAAAGTCCAAAGTGAATGATGATGATTATGACGACGATGATCAGTGGGAAAAAAAACAAAGAAAAGAAGAGGGCCAAGTCAAAAAAAAAGATTGTCTACGGTTGGCTCCACATCACTAGTCACATGTGACAAAAAAAATGTGATCACATAACCCCTGTTTCGATTATCATCATCATAGATTTTGTCTTGTTTTGTTGTGTGTGTATGTATGAGTGTTTGGTAATTAAAATTCAAACAACAAAAAAAAGTACACTAAACATATTCGTCGACACTAATTAATGGAAAAATTTTTCATTTTCTGGAGCTACCTTATTGCTTTTTTCTGCCAATCTTAATTCGATTCAACCATTGATGATAATGATTATGGTTCGTTAGCCTATTATATAAGTGTGTGTGTGTATGTGTGTAATTATTATTGTTTCAAAGATGAAAAATTTTGTAATTAAAATTAAAATGTACTAAGACAATCATCAAGTACAATTTTTTTTCTCTCAAATTCAAAAATCAATGATGCGATTCAATGATAATCAATCTAATCAATCAATCAAAGAATGTGTGTGTGTGTATGTGGTGATGATGATGAAAAAACCTAGTGAACCACAAACAACAAGAAAACAATTAGATCAACAAAAAGGATCATCATCGATAAAAGCAATGTGAATGAAAAAACTGGACATCAGGAAAGAAAAAATAATCACCAATATGTAAGATTTAACAAAAAAAAACTCAATAAAGCAAAAAGAATTTTTTTTGCAGAATTCACTTACCACCACCAATAAAGAAAGGCCGAAAAAAACCAAGAAAGTTGATCGAGCATCGAGAAAAAAAAACGTGGATGTGAATTGCATGCCATACATACAAACATAATCATCAACATTCATAAAATAATAGCAATCATCATAAAAAAAATCACAATAATAATAAGGACGCGGTAAAGATGATAATACTACTGGACGGCAATTGTCGTCGTCGTGGTTGTGGTGGTGGTGGCGGTGGTTTTTTCAAAAAAAATGGCTTAAATTGCTGCAAACATACAACAACAACAACAAAAGTGATTATTACACAAGAGAATGGGCTGATATTATAAGGAAGGAAAAAAGTGGACGAAAAACCACGAACCAGATGATGATGATGATTAAATTCTCGTTTTTCTAAACTTTGTGTTTGCTATAATTTTCGAAAAAAAAAATTTTTTTTGTGTATTTCTCTCTTTGAAATGAACAATCATTGTTGTTAACTGTGGGAACCATTTGACATTTGTGTTATTTGTTATTGTTGGATTCTATTAATTCTAACCATATTCTACACACATCACACAATCCACATTTAAATGAATGTTGAATCATAATTTTTTACATTTTACTTTCACACAAATTTCAATATATCGATTGATTGTTACCTGACAAATGATAATTGGAAATTAATAACGGAAATGTCAAAAAAACGAAGTTAAAAATAAATTTGTTTGTCGATAAATATTGTTGTTGTTGTTGATTAAATAAGACAAAATAGCTATCTTTCAGTGAAATCGAAACAGAAAAAAAATCGATTCATACACAATATTTGATAGGCAATACACACAAACACAAAGGTAAAAAATGACTATACAATGGTTAGTTGTTTTTTTCTTTTTTTTGGTTGTGTAGTTGACGAGTCGCCTACCGGCCGGCTGCTTAGTTAGTTGGATTCGGTATTCTGGATCACTATAATAATGATAATGGAAACCTAGCCACTAACACCAACACCAACAACCAACCAATTAAGAAAAAAAACGACCAACCAAAACTTAATGACAATCAGTGTAAAACAAAAAAAACGAACAACCGTTTGTGATATATAGATCTCCCATATATCGAGAATATTTTAGAATAGGGTAGAAACCTGAAACAAAACAAAAAAGACCAGAAACAACAAAAAAACTACCAACAAAAAATCATGGTTGTCAATGGAGCCACAAACACATTTTCTACACACACTCTATATTCTCTATCTACGACACACACACACACACAAGAACATTCTACTATCTATAACATTTTTTTTTTTTTTTGATTTTCTGGATCGAAAATGTTACCGTTACCGTACATGGTGATAATAATAAAATAATGATAATCGTCATCATAATGATAATAATAAACTAGTGTATATTTTCTTTGGTTACCGGTGGCAATACTCACTCAATACACACGCACACATCAAAAACATACGTTCATCTTGACAACAACAACAACAAAAGAAATAAATTAGATGACGATAGTGATGAAATAAAATGAAATAATGGGAACATACCTGAAAGAATGAAAAAAAACGGTGATGCTCATTTTTGAATGATCAAATCCGAATCAATTATCGTACATATTTCACAATATCTTCATGATTCAAAAATGTAAATTTCCATTACATTACATGTTGTATGTATGTAGCATCATAAATGAAGGCCGGCGCCGGAACCACATGTTTTTATTATAGCCATTTGTTGTTGTTGTTGTTGTAGATGTTTACCACCACAACATACACACACAAATAGTACACATGTTGTTATTGATCGATAATAATATCACACACACATCTGCTGTCATGATAACACAAGGCAACACAGATTTTTTTGATTCTAAAATCAAAAAAAAAAATGTATCAAAAAACGGAAATAATTTCATCTACCGGTATAGTGTGTGCGTGTGTGTGAGAGAGAAAAAGAGAGAGAGAGAGAGAGAGAGAGCTAGAGAGGTTGAAGAAAAAAGAATGACAATGGCAATGGCATTGATGTGTTTTTGTCGCAGCATTTTAATGATGATGATGATGTGACAATAAAATTCAAACAACTCTACAAACGACCATCGTCATGAATGAATAGTTGGATTCTAAATGACAATGATGATGATCATGATCATTCTATCTATCTCTACCTACCATTACTACCAACCAACCAACAAACAAACCATCCATCCATTTATTCATTCATTCGACTATCATCAACCAAAATACAGAATATATACATCCTCCTATCTCTTATTATCAAATCAACCAACCAACCTACCAACAATGATGATGATCGACCAACCAACCAACCAACCAAAACAACAAACATTTTTTTTCATTTTAAAAAATTACAAAAAAAGGTGCACGCGCGCAAACAACCAGAAAAAAAATAAAAAGGAAAAAAAGGTATTGTTTCTTTGGCCACCTCCCACCTTTTTTTCCCCCACTACTACCACAACCATCATCATCATCCGTTCTCCCTCCACAGTATAATTCACATTTCTGTTTTTGTCATTTTTTTTTTTTTTTGTAGTGGTGGTATATATATAAACACACTGTTTTTGATGATGATGATTATTATACCTGGTGATGATGATGATGGCCAGGTATAATTTTATCTAACACACACACACACACATACATATGGCAGCTGTATATATGCTATATCTGTATTTCATTCAATCATTCATTGTCCCATCATTGGTTTCTCTTTCTCTCTATATTCATTTTGTCCATTTTATTCCATTCCATCTATATGACTATGTCTTTATGATGATGAAACTGTGCTATTATCATCATCATCATCATCAAGCCCACCATCATATACAATCAAAAATGCCCTGCCGCAAAATTCAATTCTTGATGACAATAGAATGGAATGGAATGAATATAGTGAGTATCAGAAAACAATAGAAAAAAAGAGAGACACCGAAAGAGAGAGAGAGAAACATAAACTGGGTATAAGGGAAAAAAATTGAATGGTGAGACTGAATTTTTTTTTTCGTTCGCTGTTGATCAAAATATATCTTCTCAATACACAAATAAAAGAATAGCAAGAAAGAGAGAGAAACAAAAATTGAACTATTGTTTCGTATATTCATTCATTCATTATAAAAATTCTTTTTCTGGGTTTACTAAATTCGCGGATACAAAAAAAAGATTATGTGAAGAGAAGTTCTAAAAAGGTTAGTGCGGCGCGTGCTTGTATATTATATCATCATCATATAAATTTCTTCAACGAAAAAAAAAACAATTTGATGATCATCATCATCATGATCAATGTCCTCGTTCTCTCTCTCTTGAATATCTGGTTATCCTGGTTATACCCATCTCTCTTGCTCAATCTCAATCGAAAAAAAAGTTGTCGCCTGATTCGTCAAAGACAAACGACAAAAAGAGAGAGATAGAAAAGAAAAGAAAAAAAAACAAGAAATAGTCATTTTCAGAGAAAGAGAGAGAGAGGGTATATATCATTGTAATGATGATTGTTCAAAAGCAGCGTAATTTGAGAGAGATAGAAAGAAAAAAAATACCTGATGTATCAAATGTTGATGTTGATGTTTTTTTTTCAACGATATTAAAATCAAATGCTTCAAGTAGTGGTAAAAAAAATGGTCACAAACACACACACACACACACCAATTTCCAATCAGCCAGCCATGGACAACAAAAAAATTTGTTGAAAAAAAATAAAGAAATTGTTTTCTGCACAATTGTTTAAAAATAATGATGATGATGATGATTATAATGGATAACGAATAATAATGAAATGATGACAAAAAAAAATGAAACATCAAGTATGTATTGGCTCCAAAAAAAATGATCATCATCATCATCATCATCAATTTCGAATGTTTATTTCCACAAGTCCATTCATATATAACGGTGCATTATTACCACTTGTTGTCATTCATTCAAATCAAATATTTTCAACAACAACAAAAAAATTTATCATTTCAACAAAAAATTTTTTTTTTTTTCATTCATTAAAAAAAATGAACAATTTGTGTTTGTCACACAACCAACACAGGTCACACTACCACCTGTCATGATTGACCTATGCCAGCTGAATTGTCAATAAAAAAGAATGACATGTTCATTATTACAATGTGTTCGACGACAACGACAACAAAACATGAAAAAGATCCGGTTTTTTTATGTTTCTTTTGTTCCGAAATATAATTATTGTTTTTTTTGTCATTCATTTATTCAGTAACAAAAAAAGATACGTGTGTGTGTATGTGTGTATGATGACAAAACAACAATTACAAATCAATTCATTATTCATATAAGTATGTGAGATCCTGGACAAATAATGATTTGGTACAGAAAAAAAACATATAAAAAATATATATATGATGATAGTAATAGAATAGAAAAATTGATCACACCGTTAACACACATTTTGATGATGCATGATGTTTATAACATAAAATGAAATTACAATTTTCCACGATTTGTTATTAATTGTCATTCATCTCTTTAAAACGTTGTAATGCTGTACGACGTACGGCTTCTTTATATGATTCTCCTATATAAATTTTTTGTTAATAATGAGAAATTAAATCGATTGATTCGAAAAAATTCACATACTTGAAAATGTTGCATTTTGATTTCCAAGACCAAGACCAGATTTTCGTCGTTCCACTTCAATAATACCAGACATGCCTTGATTAGATTTTCCTAAACCGGTTCCTTCGGTCTATTTTTTTTTTTTTTTTTGTTGATGTGTAGTGAGTATAGTGTGAGAATTAGAAAAAAAAGTAATTCAGGTTCTCATTTGAATTTTGATGATAACAAAAAAAAAACGAACCCAGCCCATAGCTTTAAGCATTCTGTTACCAATATTATCATCGGAAATGGGTGGTGGTGTTTTCTCCTTTAGCGGTGGTAGTGATTGTTTTTCCATTTCAAATTTTCGTTTAGAAAATTCCGGTGTATCATCGATACCATATTTATCTCTACGTTCTTTCGCTCTATCTCTATAGTTCATCTGTAATCACAGTAAAGAAAGAAAAATTATTGGATTTGTGAATCGAAAAATTTGTTGATAATTGTATCCATACTTCTCTTTCCACTTGTTCAACATGTTCCAATTGTTCATCGTTCAATAGTGTTTGTCTTAAAACAGATAAATTTGTCTATAATGGGGAGGGGGAAATTGAAATCGGAAAAAAACAAAACATTGTTCAAATAAAATGAACAGATTTGATTGTGGCAATACTTTATGAAGCCCAGAAAGTTGTTGATGTTTGGCCAATAATTCGCCACTATTGAATTGTCGTTTACAAAGCATACAGGCAAGACGATCACGATCGATTAATTTTTCCTCTTCCGCTTTGATTATTTCGAATGGATCAATGGTTTCTTTCATCAATTTTATAGAATCATCAGCCGTGGCCGATAATGAATTTGAGATTTGTTGTTGTTGTTTCTCAAAAATACGATAACTAATATTTGATGCTGACGAACATTCTGGTTCTTCTTCAGCATCTGTTTGAAACACTTGTGGCTTTGTTGACAATTCTTTTCGTTGTTGACTGCTGTTTGCCAATGTTTTTGCCCATTTTTCCATATCTTTTGCAATCTTTTTAGCAATTTTAGCCTTATCTGTTGTCTTTTCTTCCGTCGAAGACAATGTTTTTTGTTGTTGTTGTTGATTCGATTGATTAGATTTTGATTTATCATTTACAACAGTTTCTGCTGAGGTCACAATGCTGCTACTTTCATTTGTTGCTTGTCCATTACTATCAACGGTAATGTACACTTGATTAGTCGTATCGTAATACATATATTTTTGATTTTGCTTCCATAAAAAATAATCACAAGAAAAAAAATCATTAGAAAATAGAAACAAATGAACAATACACATTTTGCTTACCGAATTGTAGAAATATTGAGAATTTGAATCATAATGAAATCCTGTTGTTGAATCATAATAGAATCCAGAAGTGGCATCATAATGGAATGAATTGTAATCGGGTTGCGGGTATTTTGTATATTTAACACCATTCAATGTAACACTACCAAGATTTGGTTTTTTCGTAGCAGAACTAGCTGAAGAAGCCGTATTGGATGAATCATCAAGATTTTTCCATTGAGCAGCAGCTAATGCAGCTACAGCTGCATTTTGTAATGCCATCGATGTATTGTTTGCAATCAATGATGATGATTGTTGTTGATCGATTCGTTTACCATAGGAAATGGTAGCCAAATGATTATCGATAGTTAATCCACCATCATCTAATGATGTGATGATTTTGAACAATTCGGTTGCCTCATAAACACTGTGTAATTCTACACAACATGTATTCGTTGGTGGCAACGATAAATTCCTGTTGGCCATTATCATACGAATTGATTTTATTGGCAATGATGTCTGTGATCCAATCGTAGCCAAAACAGTTTCTTCGGTTGTTTTCGACGATAGATTTCCAATCAATAATACTTCATTATTTTTTTTGATCAATTTCGAAGATAATAACAGAAATTTTAGTAAAAAAATTTTTTATAGTATCCAGTTTGTTTGTTTTTTGTAGTAGTAGTTTTGTGTTATTATTAAAATATAAAATTTTTCAATACCATTGGTTGGTTGCCGTACGGTTATACTGTTGCTATTGTTATTGTTGTTGTCTTCATCGATCGGTGTTTCATCTTTACTTGTTCCACATTTAAAACATTCATCACGACGTTTAAAATTATTGATACCACACTATTAAAATCATAATAAAAAATTAATTTTGGTTTTCAACAAGCAAAAAAAAAAAAAAAAAAAAAATACAAACCTTTGGACAGCTCCAGTCGCTTTTGAGAATACTTTTATCTATTGGTAAATTATCTTTGGGAAAACTATAATGTAATGTACATTCATATTCACCACCAAATGTTAAACAATCCTATCAATTCAATTCAATAAATATCAATATCAATATATCGAATGGATTCGTTATGTGTATATATATTACTTGTGTCAATTCTTTCAATTGAGTAGCTTGTTCAATTGAAACAAATTCAATAAAGGCAAATCCACGTGAATGACCTATAAATAAATAATGAAATGAAAAGATGACAGCAGCAATTTCAAACATAAATTCAAAAAAAAATCTTACCCGTTTCTTTATTCTTCATTAATCGAACATCTTTTGGATATAGACCAAATTGATTGATTTCTTCCATTATCTATCGAATATCAGAAATAAATCATTCAATTCATAATAATCACAAACATTCAATATCTCATTACATTCTTGTCATTAATATGTAACGGAAGATTACGAATCATTAATGTATTATTTGGTTTCTCTTCACGGCGTTCTCGTTGATGATGATACTGCTGCTGCTGCTGATTCTGTTGCGGATATGATGAACGTTCATCATAATAATGTTCATCTGAATCCTGTTGATATCTGTTATTTTGATTATGATGATGATGAGAATCGTTTCGTTCATAGCTACGACTTCGTGATCTACGATCTCGATTCCTATCACGATGATTTTTGCTATATGATCGATGATTATGATGATGGTCTGATCCATCATCATCATCATTTTGTTGACGATATTTTCTATTATTATTGACATAGCCTTGTTGTTCGTCATTTTCATCGTAATTGGAATGTTGTTGTGTTGTTGTATCGTCATCATCAAAATCATTTCGATTCAAATGATGTTGTTGTTCCGAAGACTGGAATTAATTGAAGAGACAAGGATTTGATTATTTTAATTTATATTTTACATATTTCAATTTATTAATTTTTTGTTATGGAAATTTCACTCTAGAGATTGTCTCTGTTTTTTTTTTTTTTTTTTATTTTTCTGTAACACTGTCATTCCATACCCGACGACTATTTGAATATGATCGATGATGATGACGATGATGGCGATGGTGGTGGCCACGTTGTTTATCGTTATCACGTTCACGATAACTTGATTACAATACAAAAAGACAACCAAAAATCAAATCAATTATTTTGTAGATGCAAATTCATATGACCCTTACCTTTCTTTAGACCAGGAATCGGAATTTTTTCCCATCATAAATCCAAAAAAAAAATCCTGATAAAATTTCTATCTATTTACCACGTTAAACACAAACAAACAAACAAACGAACAAAAATTATTCACTTTTTTTTCTTCGAGCACGATGGAATTGTTGGCTTTTTTTTTAATTGTTGTTACAATGAAATAAATTTCCAATTTTTACTCAGCCATTTAACCAAACGCAAAGAGGGCATACATACGATTTTAATCGAATGCCCGATTCATACGATGCAAGTATTTTTATTTTTTTACATAAAATACAAAAATGGACAGGAAAAAAAATTGATAATTTTTTCTGTGATTTGTTGATGATGATAAAGAGATTTTTTTTTCCATTCACCACACTGCTGGTGACAGATCCGACAAATCAAACCAAACCAAACCAAACCAAACCAAACCAAAAACAAATAAACGAGCAACAATCTGCAAAACACACAGAATATTGGTTGGAAAAAAAAGAGGTGTGGATCGCAAATTTGCATGCACACACACATCGAAAATGGAATTTTTGGGGCCAATTTTCGTCTTATGATTACATGATGATCCGAAAAATAGCTCAAAGTGAACCAAACGATCTTCATCGATTTCAGGGAAGGGAAAAATTTTTGAAAAATAGGATCTTAGACCACAATAAGTTTTAATCGGATGCAACGATTTCAATGGAATCTTGAATCGATTAATTTCTTTGTTCCAAAATTTACTACATCATTAAAGTTCGTTCCGCACAAAAACAGATGAATCCATAACGATAGCCAATCAATGGTAAACATTGAATTTTCCATGTCCTGATAAAAACTGAGAAAACGATAAGAATTTATTTGCGATGATAAAAATAGAAAAATGAAAAAAATAATATCACGACATGATCACGAAAAAACTGTGGCTTTGGAGCCTCTTGTATTTGGTATCAAAAATGTGCGATAAGAGGACAACCGTCTTCGACGACCGTTGAGTTCGAATGTTATATTCGATTTTCCAACGATCAAATTCAAATTTGTATGGAGAATAAGTCTTGAAGGGGAAAAAGAAGCGCGACATTTGCATTGAAAATGAGTTGGCTGCACTACCACTGCTGCATTTGACTACGCGCAGTTGCCCAATAGTTGTAACTTTGAGGTTGAAATTTTTTTGGCGGCAAAAAATGAATGCATTATTTTGCCGCAGACTTAGCATGAAAATGAATAAAAAATCCACTCATGATATGATAGATATTATCATGCACACACACACACTATATACACTATACACAACAATTGTGCATGCTGCTGGTGGCTGAGCAACATTACCAATATATACAAAAAGGGGCTCTCAATTTACACACACACACGCATCACAGAACGCAGAACACCACAGTAAAGATTATCATCATTTTGTTTTTTTTTGAGATATTTGATTTCGTTTTTGTTTTTGTGGTCTCATTAATCATCATCATCACCATCATCATCAGCAACCAGAGAAAGAATTTGTTTTCCTCGAGGGTGGATTGTACAAGAATCGAATCTGATCGTCAAGTTTTTTATTTTTTAAAAATTTATTAAATTTTAAATTGTCGTTTTGTTGTCGGTGTTTTCCGTTTTTGTTGTTGTTGTTGTTGCTGTTGCTGTTGTGTATATATCTCTGCAATCATCATCATCATCTTTAATTTTCATTCACGAAAAAAAATATGGCCAACGAAAATGATAATACGCTTGATGATTCAGACAAGGTATGTAAAAGTTTTTCGTCAACGAATCAATGTGTCTTAACTTAATTGGTTCAAATTGATTCTTTTTAGCTTCGTATTGTAGCCGATTTTATTCTACATGCACCGCCTGGAGAATTTCGTGAAGTTTTTTCCGGTATGTTGATCTTGTTGTCATTTGTTGTTTATTTATTTTTTTCCGTCAATTTTCCCAAAAAAAGATGTTCGTCAATTACTTAACAATGATGCATTATTAAAAGACAAAGCATGCAAGTATGTTGTTTTTCTCTTTTTTGAATTCGAATTGTAAAAAAAAACATTTCTTTACAGCATTTTTGCTCAATATCGTAAAGATCAATTGACACCGGTCAATCTATCAAATGGAAATGAATTTGTAAGTGGTTTGTAACGAATGTATAAATTATCAATTTCATTCAATTTTCATTATATACAGGCTTTAATTACCGAATTTAATGATCTTGGTTCGAATCGTTTTTATGATCCGAAAACAAAAAAATCATTTAAATATGATTTTTTAACCGAAGAAACATCTGATCATTGTAATTGGGAACCAGATCAAACATGTGAATCATGGCGTTTAGCACTAGATGATGTTTGGTCAAATTATTGTTCAGATCATTATTATAAAGGTATTAGCTCGGTATTTGCCACCACCACCACCACCACTAATAATAATGATCAAATAACATTGAGTGCTTGTATTGAAGCTCATCAATTTCAGCCAAATAATTTCTGGTAAATGTGTTAATAAATCATTGATTATTCATTTTAATCAACATTGAATATTGACAACAGGAATGGCTTATGGAGATCAATCTGGATAATAACATTGAAACCGAATCGAAGTGAAGCGGAAATATTTGGTAAAATTAAAGCACAAGTTCATTATTATGAAAATGGTAATGTTCAACTTGTTAGCTTTAAAGAGATCAAAGAATTGATGAATTTTACGGTAAATTCTCACTATACATTTATATATATTCGTATTAATGAACTAATTATTTTACAACAAAAAAAAGGATGAAAAAAGTTTGGCAGAAAATTTTAAAAATATCGTTGAAGAAGCCGAAAATGAATATCAGATTGCCATCTCACAGAATTATCAAAATATGTCCGACACAACATTCAAAGCATTACGACGTGCATTACCAGTAACTAGATCAAAAATTGATTGGCACAAAATAATGAGCTATCGAATAGCGAACGATATTAAACAATCATAAACAAACAAACAAACAGCCACACAATTCCATCAGATAAATCAACGCTCGAACTTTGCAAAAAACACACACACACACACAATGATAAATTATTTTTTCCCAAAACAAAACAGCAAACATTTTAAGCCATTTGATGATGATGATGATGAATTTTATTTTATTTTTTATTGATGATAAATATAATCAATCAATCAATCAATTCAATTATTATTATTAATAATAAATAATATTCTTACATAAGCACAACATTATTCTGGCTACCACTATTGAGAATAAAATGCCGTATCGATGAATATGGTAGAAAATGAATAGATTGTGGTTCCAATGTAATCGATTCTTGTTCACCATCTTCACTATTGATTAATACGTCAATTTTTTTCAACGCCTTTACGAATACATAGGTATTATCGAATATTTCTTGATCATTTCGTGGCAATTCTAATAAACTAAATGTATGCGATGCATCTTTGATCGGTATGTTCAGCTTGCCCATAACGGATTCGGCAAGATAATTTTCCATATTCATAAAATAACTATCCAGATATTTTATTTCACCGGCTGACATTAATTTCTGTGCACGTTGTTGATCTGATTTCAATATCTTTATCATGGTAGCACAGTTTTGTTCAATTTTCTTGATACGAGTACGTAGATAAACATTCACCGTATATTGTAATCGATCAATTTCGGTTCGATGTTGTTCAATACAAAATGTTTCCAATTTATTTTTCAATCTCGAAATATTATTTTCCATATGTTCAATTTGTTCGATCATACAATCGACCAATGTTTCTTCATATTCCAATAATTCAGGACTTTCATTTTCATTAGAGATGACTTCAAGAAATTTACAATAAACTTGTTTCGGTGTTTCCAATGTATTTTCCATTTTTATTTTCGAAATAAAAAAATGATGATGATGATCACACTATTTTTTCAAGTTTTAAATTGTTTACAATGATGAGTGATCACGTGATGGGTCACGCGTAAATACAAGTACGCGCACGTGCAATTTGCAATTCAAGGAAAACATGCATGGATCAAACAATTGAATATTTGTCCATCAAAAATTCATTCTTTTCCATTTTACGATAATGATGGATGCTTTTCGATTGTTAACCAAAGGTGCGAAATTTGATTCGAAATTTCAAACAAAATCTAAAGTAAGTTGAAGTGTTTATGTTTGGGATTTACCAATAACAATTATTTGACTTTACTAGAGATTTAAACCCGACGATAACCAACCAGACAAATCACCAGATGATATGAGAAAAAACGCCGAAAATGAACCAATGAATGATGAACAATTTCGTGCCAAACATGATATTATGGTTGATGGTTTTGATCCGATTAAATCGCCAATCAAATCATTCGATGAAATAAATGAAATAGCTGACGATTATCTTCGACAAAATCTCGAAAAAAGCAATTATCTATGTCCCACTCCGATACAAATGCAAACCATACCCTTAATGTTAGATCGACAACAATTGATTGCATGTGCACCGACTGGCTCCGGCAAAACATTGGCTTTTCTTTTACCAATCATCATTCAGCTAAAAGAACCAAAATCTTGTGGATTTCGAGCAATCATTCTAGCACCAACACGTGAATTAGTCAAACAAATCCATCGGGAATGTTTGTGGATATCGAATGGTTCTGGATTACGAGTCCACATGATTAAAAATGTTAATTTAGCAGCCAAGAAATTTAATACAAAATCTAAACTAAAATATGACATATTGATTACGACACCGAAACGTTTGGAATATCTTCTACGAAAAACAACCGATTCCATTAATGTTGATAATCTTGAATGGCTGATTATAGATGAATATGATCGATTATTACAAACGACATTTATGCAGCAATTATCGTCGATATTTAATATTTGTTTTGAAAGATCATCAACATTGAAATTGGCATTATTCAGTGCTACATTCAATGGCCATCTACATGAATGGTGTAAATTGAATCTGAATAATATCGTCACCGTTATTATCGGTGAACGAAATAAGGTCGTCGAATCAATAGAACAGAAACTGGTATTTACCGGTAATGAAACTGGGAAATTATTTGCATTGAAAGAAATCATTGCCAATGGCTGCCAAACACCGGTATTGATTTTTGTGAATACAGTACGGAAGGCAAATTTTTTACAACGAGAATTGGAAGATTCCCTTGCCATAACAGTGGATACAATACATTCGGATCGCAAACAAGAAATACGTGATCAAATTGTTCGTTTGTTTCGTGAGGGAAAAATACTATTTCTGATTTGTACAGAATTAATGGGACGTGGAATTGATTTTAAAGCCGTGAATTTAGTGATCAATTATGACTTACCTAGTTCAGCGATTGCATACATTCATCATGTTGGACGTACTGGTCGTGCTGGCCGCACCGGTAAAGCCATTACATTTTATTCATTGAAAGATGAAAAGAAAAATTTACTCCCCATTTTACAAGTAATGCACCAGTCTGGATGCTCAGATATTCCTCAGCATGTTCAAAAGTGAGCAAAAGTTTTTTTTTGTTTTTGTCATTTCATTTCATTAACATTTGTTTTTTATTTCAGAAAAATTCTGGAAAAGCAAAAACAAAATGATGGAAAACACCAAAAACAAAAACAAATTGTACATCGACGACGACAAAGAAAAAAGAAAATGAAAACCAACAATGATGATGATTGAAAAAAGAAAACAAAAATTTTTATTCATTTTAAATTTCAAGGGAAAGAGAGAGAGAGAGAGAGAGAAATTATGAAAACAAATGAACATTTATGACTCATTGTCATCATCAATATCAATCTGGTGATTGATTCAATGGCGTTTTTTTTATCGTTGAAAAAAAATTAATGAGTATATTGAATTGAATAACAAGCGAGCGAGAAAGAGAGAATTACAATTGCAAATTAATATTGTGTGATACTGATGATGATGATTGTTTGGTAGTGTTGTGTTGTGAATATAATAGAAACAACGAAAAACAGAACAAATAAATCAATAAATAAATAATAAAAAAAAAGAAATGTTATGTTATGATCAGTTGTTGGGAAAGTGGTGTGGGTGGAAAAAAAAAGTTCGATGATGGATCAATATTCAGAATGGCTACACACATACAAACACACAAATCAAAACATTGTCGAGATCAATGGATAAATAAATAAATGAGTTGTAAATATCAAACTTTTACATTGATTACAATTCGTATTAATTGATTAATAATAATTAGGGAATGAAATTTTCACAATATGACTAGATATATAGGAATTGTGTTTGCTAAGTTTTTTTTCTGGCCATCAACTACTACTAATTAATTAATTAATTAATTTTAAGCTCTACATTGACCAAGCCAATTGGTAAAACGTGATTTTTGATTATGATTTGAATTTGTATTCGTCGTTGTTGATTGTTGATTCGATTTCATTTCAATATCTAATGTTTGATGATTATATGATGATGATGATGAATTGAATGTTGATAATTGATTATTCCGTTGTCTTTTGGTATTAGTGTTTGTTGCAGAATTGTTGTTATTGTTATTCATTGTATGTTGTTGATGATTTCGTCCATTACAAATATTTTCTGGCTCATCATCATCGTTGATTAATTCATCATCGTCATCATCATTATCGGAACCAGATTCATCATCTGGATCAAATCCATCATCATCATCATCGTCATCATCGAATTCTTCATCAATTGAATTTGCTTTAATCTTGTTATGTGAATTTAATGTTTCCAATGTTGATGTTAAACAATTATAATAATTATTGGCAGCATTATCAATCGATGAATGATGGTGATTATGATGATGATGATTGAATGCCAATTGATGATGTGACGATGGATGATGATAACCATGGTGGTTTTGGTGATTCGATGGATAATTTTGATCTGCATATGCTGCTAATGGTAACATATCAGCCACTACATTTGCCGAAGCAGCCAAATGACCAATCATTGATGAACATAATGATGATGGTGATGTCAACGACTGCTGTTGTTGTTGTTGCTGTTGCGGATTGTGTCCATTTTGGTGATGATTATTATTCATCATTGATTGATTTGTTGCTGTTGTTGCTGAAATTTGATGAGATTTAGATTTACCCAATGTTGTTGTTGTTGATGATGATGATGATGATGATGGATTATTTCTGGATGAATTCATTGATGATCCACCATTCTGGTGTTTCAATAAATTTTGTTGTTGCTGTTGATGTTGTTTTTGTGCAAGTTTTTCCATCGCCGCTATTGGACAGCCGGATAAGCTGTGTGAAAAAAAATTTTTCCATCAATTGAAATTGAATTCATAATGATTACGATCAAACAATCAAACCTTCGATGTGAATTACGTGATGAATTAACATGGCCACGACCATTACAACCAGGTGTTGGACATTTCAATATTGTTTCATGCATGGCAAGTACTATTGAATCAAATGACAACAAAAAAATCATCAAAAATTTGACAATGGAAAAAATGAAATAAAATCCATCCACTCACTTTCCGGCGTTACTTGTCGTTTACGTGGACAGCCGGAAAGACTACGATGATGTGTATAGAGTCCGGTTGAATGGCCCGTACCATTACAGCCTGGTGTTGGACATTTTGAATCTATCAAAACACAAAGAGAAAGAGAAAAAACAACAACAACAACAACAAATATTAAAAATCTGAATATATTCAATTTCGTTGTCCTAACACACACAAAAAAAGAGATAACCAAACAATACAATGAATTTGAAACAAACAAAAAAAAATGAAATTTTCGAAAGAATCCTTGTCATTGGAATTATCATCAACATGAAAAAAAAACAAAACAAAACACAATGTTTGTTTGCATGATACAAATTCAATTCAATTCAAATTCAAAAAAAAAAAATTTTTTTTTTTCATCTTTTCACAACCACAGAGCCACAAAACAAAACAGAAAAAAAATCAATTTATTAAAATTTTTTTTTGTTGCTGCTGCCTGTGTGATGCAAGCAGGCAAAGATAAACAACAATTCACATATAACACACACAGATAGATAGATAGACCATTGTCTGTGATTATGAAAGAGTTATTCGGAATAATAATTGCAAAAAAAAAATGAAAAATTGTCAAACAAACAAAGTGGATTGAAAACAATTGAATGAAATGAAAACCTTCTTTTTTTTGTTGGAAATCAGGGAAAAAACCATTCTCTCTCTCTATCTCTGGAACTAGTTCAGTGGCAACATACAATGAGTCAGTTTTTTTCAATCCTATTCTGTTTTTTTTTTTGTGGCAAATTTGAAACAAAATCGACTCGAACACACATTGGGCCACATCATCATCATCATCATGTGAATCTTACTTGATTGTGAATTTGATTTTGTTGGATTCAATAATGAATTATTCAAATCTCGATTATAAGCATTGAAAATCAATGGCCATTGATTATTATTTTCGCCAACTGTTGTTGTTGTTGTTGTTTTATCGGATTCATTTTTATCATTAATCGATGGTTCATGATTCAATGCTGTGGATGAATGATGTGAACCAATATCAGATGATGTTATTTGTGGATGATTGACATGATGACGAAGATTATTGTTGTTGTTGCTGCTGCTGCTACTGGTGGTGGTGGTGGTAATAAAATCATCATTCAAAAATGATGTTGTTGTTGGCTGATGATTCATCAATAATGATGATAATTGACCATGATGATGATGATGATGATGAGTAGCAGCAGCAGCAGCATTATTAGCCAGTGGTAATACATTGAATCGATTTTCAATTATTGACGATGATGGTGATGTTTGTTGTTGTTGTTGTTGTTGTAATTGCTGTTGTAAAACACGTAAATAAAGGCTTGAAAGTGCCTGACTTTGAACGAAATTCCACCAAAATGAATTTAACATTGTTTGTTTTTTTTTCATTAAATTTGAAATGTTTCAAACAAATGACAAATGAAAAATGAATTTTTTTTTCGACAAAAATTCTGGATGCTAATAATGATATTCTCCAGGATCCTGAGGGCAACGAGTAGTCGGATATTCCTGGGAGATTCACGACTAACGACACTACTACCGACGCCACCACCACCACCACCAATGTACTGGCATTTTTTTTCCTTGTCACTAATGATGCGTGTTAAATGGATTGTCACTAATTAGCTATCATCATCATCGACAGTGTTAATCAACAAACAAACAAATAGTAATCGATTTGATGAAATAAAAATTGCTACTGGCATGTGATAATAATTACGTTTGATTGATAGAAATAGTGACAAACACACACACACACAGTAAGGTGTGTTCCCTTGTGTCAAAGTAGTTGTTGTTGTTGTTGTTGTTTTCAAATCAAAACTCATGACACAAACACATCATCATCATCATTTTTTATTGAAATTTGAATGAAATTTGCAAATTACAAAGCGAGAACAACAACAACAAAAAAAATTCCTGTCATAAATCAGATTTGAATTCGAATTTTCAGAATATGCGCATTCATATTTCATTTTTTGATTTGTTACATAATGATTTGTACATCCCATCATCATCATCATCAAAAGATGCGCACAATAATAATAATAACCACTGGGAAGAAAAATTGAATCCCATTAAACTATTGAACACATTGGTTTTATTGATGAAATCAATAACCGATCAAATGAAAAAAGAAACAAGAAACAAAATCTTGACCAATCATCAACGATGTTACCACATGCCCACAAAAAAATATGTAGGCGTGAATGATAATTATGTGAAAAAAAGGTGGAATAATAATAAAAAAAAAACACACACACACACATCCAATGTGAATCAAATCATTTATCACCATCAATGAATGAATGTGGATGATGATGATGATGATGATGGGGAAAAATGGAATAAAATTCCATTTTGTTGTCGTTGTTGTTGTTGTTGTTGCCATTTTGCACGCGTTTGAATGTTTGTTGATATTCAATGAAATACAAATGAAAAATTTCGGATGAATGAATTTTAGTATCGTCGTTTTCCATTTCAAATGATGATGATGATTATTCTTTCAGTGTGTTTGGGCATGATGAGAAATGATTAGTTTAAATGGAATTATTTGATCGTGAAAAAAAATTTTTTTTTTTAGTTAGTTTCATCATCATCATCATCATAACTGAAATCTCTGATTTCATTGATCTATGATGATGATGATGATTTTTTTTCCATACAAAAGATAATCATTATCTTTTGGTCTAGATAGAATTCAAAAAAAAAATGAAATGGAAAAAAATTAGTTTTTTTTTGCCACCAAAAAATGTTCATTTTTTCTTGGTTGATTTACATTGTTGTTGTTGTTGATGTTCCAGAAAGAGTAGAGAATTCCAGCGAGAGAAAAAAAAACAACATTCTTTCGCTTCAAATGATTTATTTAACGAAGAAAAAAAATTTTCAAATCAATACCCCGACACACACAGACACACAATTCTCGTGTTTTTTTTTCAATTTAAAATTCAAAAAACAGTGATATATATCACCGTACGAAAACAACATGGGTCAACAACAAATGCCTCAATTGTGAAAAACAAGTAACAAAAAAAAAAAACACTAACACTCTATATTCCGGATAAGGAGAGAAAAAAAAATTTTTCCATCTTCTTTCGATCAAAATCTAATCGTCAAACAAAAAAAAAATGATGATAATTACACACACACACACACACAATTTGAAACGAGAAAATTAATCTTAAAAAAACAATCAAGTTAATGTCAAACACCTGAATTCAATAATGTCAAGAATGAAAAACGTAGACAAAAATGAATGAATTGAAGAACAGAAATGAATATTCGTCTTATAGTTGACGGAAATGGAAAATTATTCAGTTTTCTATTTGCTGATACAAAAAAAATATTGAACTCAGACTGATTGATTTTCTTCGTTTAGTTTCCACATAATTTCTTATTTTCATTATGATAAAACCCACCGTTAACACGAGAATCTTATTCTCACTGGAAACAAAACAAAACAAAACAAAACAAAAACACTTTTTTCCGATTCTGTTTCCTGATTTGGAAAAAAATGATGATTACAATTCAATTTGAACAAACAGAAAAAAAAGAAATTAAATTACATGCCACTTGATAAATGAATAAAAAAAAATCGGAAATGAAATTATTTATCAAACGAAAAAAATTGAAATATTAAAAAATCTGAAACACATGGCGCCATCTGTGGAAGTTAGTTCAAAATAAAAATTTCAAAAATTATTTTACCTTTCGTTATTGAATGTTCATAATGTGGCGGTGTTACACCATTTAGATGATGATGATGATGATTCGATGTTGATCCATTCAATAATGGTGGTGGTGGTGGCCTCGGTATACTGGCTGAAAGATCGGTATAATGTTTAATGTTCGCCGTTGTTTGATCATTGATCAATGATTTACGTTTATTATTTGTTGCGGTTAAATTTGTTTTAGCACATAATGATGTAAATTCTGACGGACTATCCGGTAATGACAGATTTGTTGATGAACAACTTGTCATTGAAAGATCTTCATCATAACCATATAGTGGACCAGTACCCAGATTATTCGTTGAATAACTATTACTGCCGGCACTTGGTAATGCTGGATAAAATTGATGAGAAAGTGGATGTTGCGATGTTGCTGTGGCTGGTGAATTAACAGCAGCTGCCGATGTTGTCATTATACTTTGTGGTGTTGCGATTGCTGTCGCGGTTGCAGCTTGAATATGATGATGTAAAGGATGATGTGAAGGTGGTACAGTGGCCGAAGCCGTAGGTGGTGGCGGTGGAGGAGGTGGTGGTGGTGGTGGCGGTGCTAAAAATGCTGGATGTGGTGGATGATGATATGGTGATTGATGATGATGTAGATTAGTTGGACAATAATAATGATAATGATGATAATGATGGTGATAATGATTCGATTGATTTATAATTGAACTTTGCATTACTGTTGTATGATGACCACCACCAGATGGCGTTATTGCACCGAATGGATTATTTACCAGATCTGTCATTTGTGTTGTTGTCGATGATGATTGTAATTGATTGGAATTTTCACCCGTTACTGGAACTAATGCATTATTGGCAACAGACGATGATGATGATGATGATCCATTTGATGATGAATTATTGGAATCTAAATTTGAATTTGTTGATGATGACACAGATGATGATGATGATGATGAATTGGAATTGGAATGCGGTAAAAAATGATAACGGCGTCTTTCATGATAGAATGTTTCACTTTCAACGATTCCACCACCACCACCACCACCATTATGTAACATATTGCTATTATCATCAACATTATTGAATGATGATTGTCCATTATAACGATTCAATGACGACGTTGATGTTGATGTTGAATTGGCCAATTGATATGGTTGTTGATCAATCGATATTGATGGATGATATGATGATGATAATGGAAGATAATGATCACCAGCACCACTACCACCACTAGTTGGATGATGATGATAAGAATTTGTTTGATCTTTATTTGATCCAATATCTGGATTTGTATAACAAGTCATTGCCGTATAGAATATGCTACTTGCTGGATTATTATTATTGCCTGTTGTCGTTGTCGATGTTGTCGAAATAGATGAAGTGGTTGGAATTGAAGTTGTTGAAATGGATGTATTATTTTTATCATTACCACCGGAACTATTATTATTATGATTTCTTGTTTCATTTTCATCTTGTTCTTCTTCTTCGGTGATATCATCACCAGAATCATCACAATCATCATCATCATCTAATTCATCATTTAAATCATTCATATCAGATGCAAATGATGTTTGTTGCTGTTGCTGTTGTTGTTGTTGTTGTTGTGATTGTAATGGTGATTGTGTTGGTGTTGACATCGGTGTCGTTGTAGTAGTGGTGGCCACTGGATTTAATCGATGACAATAATCATCACCATTACAATGATGAAATCCATTGATTGAATTGTATTTTGATTGATTCAATTCCAAACTAGTTGTACCCATTGTTGCTGCTGTTCGATGATCAATATGATGATGTGTTGTTGCTACTGGTTCTGGTTTTGGCGACATTAACATATGACAATGGTCGATCATCTGCAACAAAAAAAAAAAAATTAAATTGAAAAAAACTTTTCCAGAAAAATCCAACACATGATAAATAAGAAAGATTTACAGAAAATGAAAACTAAACCGAAAAATTCTATGCAAATCAAGAAGTTTTATTGAATGATAATTTTTCATTTTCAACATAGAGTTAAAGAAAGAAAAAGAGAATCACATGCTGTTTTATTTTGCATCACACACACATACACTGACGTATCGATATTCAATAATTCAAAAGTAAAGCAACTGTAACAACAACAACAACAACAACAACAAATCAATCATGTAAATATATCCAGGCTTAACACCTTTTTTACGTTCTCTCGGTTTGAGTTTTCAACAGCAACAACAACAACAACAAAAGAAAGGAAAAAAAATTAAGATGTACCGATTTCGTTGTGATTGATACGCATGGATTTATTTATTGACATGTGTGTGCCTGTGTCTGCTTGATTCACCCATCCTCAATTTGGACAATTGCAAAATTCTTTTTTTTTGTTATCCATCGACTTTGTTATTGATTCAATCAGATATTTAAATTTTTTTTATTTATGTTTTTCAATATTATTCACATAAGAGTAAAATTGAATTGATCATCGATTCATTGATCGATTGAAAAAGATTTCCGTTGCTAAATCCATGTCCATTCTGTTTGTTTTCAAAATTTTAGTCCATTCGTTTTTTTCTCTCTCTATATGGTATTTGTTAATAAATAAAATTTGAAACAAAAATAAAATTCTAGTCACGTAATTGAGTGGTCAACAACGACAACGACAACGACAACTTTCTCTCCATTTCAATTGTTCAAATTATCGTTATAAGTGTGTGTGTGTGTGTGTGCAGTAAAGTTCAAGAATGTATCCAACATAACATAACATTTCTGGATGACTAGACTAGACTGGAGAGAGAGAGAACAGAAAAAAATTGTTAACCATATGAATGATTGATATGGATATTTATCAAAACAACAACCAAGACCAAGAATCCAACGAACTGTCAATGAACATTACAAGATAGGTGGTAGGTAAGCCAGCCATACAGCAGCAGCAGCAGCAGCAGTAGCCTTGATACATTGATGGCCAATCTATCAATGTCATTGGAAAAATGTGTGAATTGTTGTTGTCGCTGTTGCACATCCTTTTTTTCCATCATTTCTGTTTGACCAGAATGAAAATGAAAAAAAAGACCCTATCCCACACCACCAACAATCATCTGTCATTCTGATGACTTAGTATAGTGTTGATGATGGCAATGTTCACAGAATAACAGAATGCCTGCCACCATTATTTTTCACAACAGCAGCACATTGTTAATGTTGAAAATTAATTGAATCTAATTGATCACCATCACCATCAACACCACAATTGATCATTTTGGCCACAAAAATATAGGATAAGTTTAGCCTTTTAGTCGTTAGCCAGAATGTTCTCGCTTTTTTTTTCTTTGGATAGAATCAGAAAAAAAACCAAAACAAACCAGAAAATCTAGAATCAAAAATTGGTGAAAAACACAGTACTATTCACTCACTCATTGGATGACTATTCCCTCCACCGAAAAAAAATGTTTGCTCATTCCAGAATCAAGCCAGAAAAAAACAGACATTAATTAAAGACCAAATGGAAAAATAGCCACTATCTGGTCACTTTCTATCATTCTTTGCTGCTGCAAATTCTGCGATAAGAATGAATAAATTAACAACAAACATTCATGTTTTATTTCATTTGAGCCAAATATAATAAATAACAAACAGAAAATAAAAATTATAGCCCCAAGTGACGAACGCCAAAAAGAAAAAAAAATTATTTTCGATAATCCAAAAAAATAAAAAAAAAGTATACTTTTACAACCAACAACCAACCATTGATTGGACATGGCTTGTTTTTGGAATATCATCATCATCATCATCATCAGGTCACTTGGTTCCGGTCATCAATTCAAATCATCATCATCATCATCATCATATATGATATGGGTATTATGCAAATAGCCTTGAGATTCGGTAATTTTTTTTTCTTTACTTTTTCTCTTGTTCATGATGATTTGGAATGGTAGAAACTTTTTTTTACCATTTTGTTCTGCATACATTAAACCAGAGAAAAAAAAAACAAACTAACAAACCATGATGTAGAGAACGTGTTCCAGAGAGAAAAAAAACTAATTTCTTTCGTCTCACTGGATGTAAAAAAAGCATGTAAGCAAGCAAACAGAAAAAAATGGAAAAAGCGTCAAGTCCATTTGGGCTTTTTTTCATTTTGTAGTAGGTTTGGAAAATGGTAGTTGGAAAAGGGTTAAAAATCATCATGATCATTAAGACACATGGAACAGGCACTAACCTTTGACACACACACATACACACACCTGGCGCCTGATCTACGAGTTCCAGAGATTTGTTCCAGAATCAAAAAAAAAAAAAAAAAAAAACAAAACGAAAACAAAATCATTATATTTGATCTCTCTCAAGGATTTTAAAATCTCATTTTGAAAAACAAAAAAATTCTGAGAATCAAAAAAAATCCTTTCCACTTTTTCCATTCATTCATATATGTTATGTATAGCGAAAAAAACGCTTGAAAACAAAAGCCGATTATGACCGACCGACCATTGAAACAAAACAGAAAAAAAACGTTGAATGAATGGATGGATGGATGACCAATTGGAAAACAAAGAGTTGGTTTCATTTTAATTAGAACACAGAGAAAAACAACCGAATCAAAAATACAGCAGCTGACAGCATGAATCGTGAAATGAAATGAATACAAAAATGGACACACAAACATACACACACACAGATGCTGCACAATCCGATTGACAATAAATGGAAAAAAAAGTCAAATCAATTAGCCATATAGCCAAACAATGCAGAAACAACAAACATATTGTGGACGTTAATTCCATAGAATCTAGATTATTTTTATTATTTAAATCAAAAAAAAAAAAAAAAATTCTCAATGAATTCTGATATTCAAAATGGTAAATGTAGTAGTTGGTGGATGTCACACATGGTTCGGGTCAATCATCATCATTTTGAGAATTTTTTTTTCTTTCCCAATATGGTCCAATAACATAAAACGAGGACGAAAAAAAAGTCAGTCAAATGTCATTGTATGATGTGAATCTGCTTAAGCAGCAGCAGCAGCAGTAGCAGCAGATGGACAATGAATTTGGTTATCATTTTTTTTCCATCTTCTTGGCCATTCGTTTTATTTTATTGAATGGGTTGACTATATGGAAACAAAATGTCATGAATTGATTGAAATTAATCATATGCGCTCAATAAGCTTTCGGTTGCCGTTTGATAATGACGTTATTTATCAGAGTCATAGGCATTCCAATACAGATAGCCAAAAACAAACGTTCATAGACATGAGATGAGATGAGATGAGGCGAATGATAAATGGGCAATGCACACACACACGCAGACACATTCATTCAATTGATTGATTACATCCATAGCAGTAATAAGCTCCAATTAGAATGACGCCCAATAAGGAAAAAATAAAATATATTGGATCAAAATGAATGATGCTGACTACTACTAATTAGCAGATGTGGAGCATTTTGTTTTTCTATTTAGTTACAGAATTTAGTTGTAAATAAACAAACAAAAAAAAATTCATTCAATGAGGTGGAAAAAAAATAAACAAACAAACAATGATGATGATGATGATGATGAAAGAATTTCAAATAATCTTCATTCAATCTTATTGGCTGCATGTTAATAATAATGAAGCCAGAATAATACTCGGTTGGTTAGTGTATCCAATTATGTGTGTGTGTGTGTGACATTTACATTTACATCATTAGTGTATACTAGTTTGTTGGTGAAGGTGACGAAAAAAAAAAATGATCCTTTCACTCGACGAACACACACACAGACCATTTATTATTTTGTGTATATAAATGGGTTTGGTATTAATTAAAAATAATTAATTGAATCATTTAACATTAACAGTATTTAGTAGCTAAAAAAAAAAAGAAAAGAAAACGAATACCGATTAATCAGCCATACACACACACACACACACACACAGAATCATGGATTGAGTGCAAGTGAAACGAGTGCAGCAACACTGAAAACTACACCGATTTGCATATGCACGGCATGAATATATGGGCACATGGAAAACGGAGAGAATTCTCGTGCAAAATGTATTCCGACAAAAAAAAAAAAAATTCAGAGTTGAATTTTAAACATTTTAGCCCATCGGTGGCTATTCAAACATTTACACAATCAAAGCAACTAGAGTGAAAAAAAAAAATTTTTTTTTTTTTTGAAAAAGTTTTTGCAATCAAGAAAAAAAAGGTAAACCCTTTTATATGAATAAAATGAATGGGAAACCAGAATGAAAAAAAAAACATCAAGGTTTAAATACCCATTACGAATGATGATGATGATGATGATGATGAGACAAGAATAATAACCATATTTTTGTAGGAAAAGCATCAGCAACAACAAAAAACAATTAGTGTTCTTGGTACTAGAATCGGATGATGATGATGATGATGATGATAATTGTAAACCATCACCATCATCATTATAAATTTGTTCGTGTAGAGAGAGAGAGAGAGAGGTAAACTTGTAAAGAATATT